AGAGTATAATCAGCCCCTGTGTCTAGCATTTGTGGACTATGAGAAGGCCTTTGACTCGATTGAGATCTGGTCCGTTCTGGAGTCCCTGCAGCGATGCCAAGTCGATTGGCGATACATCCAAGTGATAAGATGTATTTATGAGGCCGCCACCATGACCGTCCAAGTACAGAATCAGCAGACAAGTCCTATACCGTTGCATCGAGGAGTGAGACAAGGAGACGTTATGTCTCCGAAATTGTTTACTAATGCAATGGAAGATATGTTTAAGACGCTGAACTGGAAAGAACGTGGCATCAACATCAATGGCGAGTACATCTCTCACTTGAGATTTGCTGACGACATCGTCATCATGGCAGAAAATCTGCAGGACCTACAACAGATGTTGAATGACCTGGCTGACTCTTCTATGCGCATCGGCCTACGGATGAACTTGGATAAAACCAAGGTCATGTTCAACGAACACGTACTACCGGAACCGATTGCAGTAAGCGGTGCCGTTCTCAAAATTGTTCTAAAATATGTATACCTCGGGCAAACATTGCAGGTAGGTAGAAACAACTTGGAGAGCGAGGGGGCTATGCTCGGCGTTTCTCTACGGGATCGAATCAAAAATGAGGTGATCCGGCAGAGAACCAAGGTTATCGACATAGCCCACCGGATTAGCAAGCTGAAGTGGCTGTGGGCTGGCCATATTAGCCGCAGAACCGATAACCGTTGGGGTAAACGAGTTCTTGAGTGGAGACCGCGTCTCGACAAACGTAGTGTAGGACGTCCTCAGGCGCGGTGGAGCGATGATTTGCGCAAGATGGCTGGCAGGAGCTGGATGCGAACAGCAGAAAATCGAAGTAGATGGCGTGCAATTGGGGAGGCCTATGTCCAGCAGTGGACGAATATGGGCTGATGATGATGATGATGATGATATTTGTTAACATCAAAATCCCTTTTTCAGCGAATATACATAAAAATAGAAAGAACACTGTTCAAATAAAACCAACAAAGCTTTACAAACCTACAAAGAATTAATAAATAAATATTGATCTACTCCTGGTCCAAATATATTCTAAAAAAGTGAAGACCGCGTGCTTATTGGCGGTCTTGCACTAGTAGAAACTATAACTTACTTCATTGTAAAAATATTATAATAGTTTTTAATAAATACTGTAATATTAAATTTATATAAGAATAACAAAAAAAGTATTGATCATTGTTAGAGATTAGGTACTCTTTGTACTAATCTATGATATCTTGTCATTGAATAAATGGTCTATCAAACAGTCGATCCGTGTATTTAATTCTAAATTTCAAATAATTATGAACGAAGTTGTATCAACTCTATGCTATATACATCGTAAAAGTGTTTAGGTATCTAAATATAGTCTGACAATTCAGATCACCGTTAATGTATTATGAACACGCTAAGATTATTTGCCAGTGAATATTTTAATGTGTATGCTTCGATTTATTTACACTATACCTACGTCGTTCTGCAATTAATTGTCAAGTACAACATCATATTTTAAATTAGAAAGTGAGGTCTAACCTAAGTGTCTAATTTTAATAACTATTGCAATCCCTTTCAAACTTTATGGAATTGTGTAACTTGGAATGAATTATGGTTTGAATTAAGGATTGAGATTTCCCAATAGCTTTCACATATATTTGTAAATATCACTTTCCTTAGACAATTCCGAATAACGTTAAATGAATGTTAGGTTCAAAGAACTTTATTGAAATGAAATGAAAATGAAATGAAAATATCTTTATTCAAGTAGGCTATTACAAGCACTTTTGAATCGTCCAAAAAACTTTTTTCCCCTACCACTTGTTCAGGACGTCTTTTAGCTGACAAGAAGAACAAGCGAAAGAAACTTATCAGCTTTTTATCATAAGTAATGACATTTACATAAATCATGTCATTACCAAAATAATATGTATTATCAATTTATCACAATAGTAAATACAACTTTCAAAGTCTGTAGGACATAAGTTGAACATATAATTAGTCTTTATAGAACAAAGCGAAGGCTATTAATTCCATGCATTGCGATCCTTAAAATAATCATCAACTTTATAATAGCCTTTACTCACAAGTATATTCTTTACATGAATTTGAAATTTATTTATGGGTAGGTCAATTACATTTTGTGGAACTTTATTGAACATAGCAATACATTTACCCAGAAATGATCCTCTGGTTTTTTGAAGTCTGAAGCTTGGAACGGCAAGTTTATCTTTATTTCTTGTGTTAAGATTATGAACACTACTTTTTTTTGTGAAGGAATCGTAATGTTTTCTTGTATACATAATATTCTCATAGATGTATTGAGAGGCAACAGTCAGAATATTTATTTCTTTAAATATTTCTCTTAGAGATTCCCTAGACCGTAAATTATATATAGCACGGACAGCTCTCTTTTGTAAAATAAAAACATCCTGAATGCTAGCCGCAGAACCCCATAACAATATACCATACGTCATTACACTATGAAAATAACTAAAATATACCAATCTTGCCGTTTCAACATTTGTCAAGAGTCTAATTTTCTTAACAGCAAAAGCTGCAGAACTCAGTCTACTTGACAAGCTATCAATATGAGGATCCCATTGCAGTCGGGAATCTAGTGTAATACCAAGGAACTTTGTCGATTCTACTAACTCAACTTTTTCACTATTTACATTTATAAGTGTACTGACATGCCTCACATTAGGTAATGCAAACTTTATGCATTTCGTTTTTTTTGAATTGAGCTTTAAATTATTATTATCAAACCACTATAGAACGTTGTCGAGAGCATTATTTACATCGTCAAAACAATCATTACCCCTCTCAACTTTAAACAGTAAAGAGGTGTCATCTGCAAATAATACTGTCTCGCACAAATTCTTCGTAAAGTGAGGAAGATCATTTATATAAATTAGAAAAAGCAATGGTCCTAATATCGATCCCTGAGGTACGCCCATAGTAACTGGTGCCCCTGCAGATTTCGCTTCATTGATTACTACCTTTTGAATTCTAGCAGAAAGATATGATCTTATTAGATGAAGTGAATTTTTCGTCACACCATAATGTTCTAATTTCCCCAACAGTGTTTCATGACTAACGCAGTCGAATGCTTTTGATAGATCACAAAAAATGCCAATAGCATCTTGTTTATTCTCCCAAGCATCATAGATATGCCTCAGAAGTGCAATTCCAGCGTCTGTTGTACATTTACCTCTGCTAAAGCCAAACTGATTTTGGTGAAGTAATTTATTTAATGAAAAGTGTGCAAGCAGTTGATTGTACATCATTTTCTCAAATACTTTACATAATGCTTATATTCTCTTAAGAAATTTACATTTCACTTATAATGAGATAAGTATGAATACAATAAAATTATATCGTATTATGCTAGGTTTGCACTATTGCACAATCTTGTATATGTTGCATAAGTTTTTTTTTTTTAAACATATAAGGTATTACAAGTCTTAACTTCATTAGGTAGTTGGTTAAATAGCTTTGCTCCCTCATAAACTATAGTCGTTTTCCCGTAATTAGTTCTAGGCGTGATTAATTTAATTTTCTGTCTATTCCGAAGATTATGTGTATTTTCCTTTATATTTAGTTGTATGTCAGATTTGAATGCGTTAGTCGTTATTTTCTTTACCAATATACATGTATAATATTTGTATAGTTGGGAGAGGTTAAGTAATTTACTTTTCTTGTATAGCTTTTCAGTTGACATTAGAAATGGATAATGAAATAATACCTTGATTATTTTGTTTTGTGATCTTTGCAGTGGTTTCAAATTAGTCGGTGCAGCGTTCCCCCAGATTTCTATTAAGTACTCAAGATGTGACTTTATTAAAGAATTGTATATAATTGCTTTGACTTTTTTTGGTATGCAGTGTGCTATCTTTCGTAGTCTTCCTAGCACAGTTGTTGGAAATGTTTTCGTTCGTTCTATATCTTTAAATAAACGTCGAGGTTGCAATTGCTATCACATGTCAAATTGTTGTAGAGTGAAGTTCGTGAATATCTTTACGATGTCAAATTTAAAGTAATCGCGACAGATTTCAAAATAAGACAATCAGGCTACAGATTTAAACCATTATCCCGTCTCAATTTGATGTTTTGTCTTCTGTCATTGTCAATTGGCTTTACGTTAATGGTTTAAACTAAGTACTAACTTTGGTACTGGTTTTAATAAGGTGGGTAAATATTACCAATGTCCATCGATGTGCAATTAATTACTTTAAAAATTCAAGGGGTCGCCGTCTTTGAGGTTTCTGATTGGATTCCCGTTCGGAACAATGCAGAAAATGGATCTTTCTATATTGTATCGGGTCTGGTTTTCTGGGATAATCCAGAATACAGGGCTTCAGCTACTCAATTTGAAATCGGAGCAATGTATGTGATGTTAATATTTAACAGTGCTATTTATAAACAAGGTTTAGCGTCAGAGTAAATTTACGCTTAAATTGAAATTTTAGTATTATAGTCCATATTCATATTACACAGAGAATAAGCAAATCTACTACCTTCTAGGAGCAAATATTACTCCCGTAGAACCTCGTACTAGGTTAATCTTTCTTAAGTCTCTGTTTAATAATATGAATTTTGACTAATACGAAGAACAGTCTCAGCGTTAATTTACTCCAACGCTAAACCTTGTTTATTAGAGTTTTAGTAAATTCACGTTTTTTTACAGTACTATTATAATATTTTGTATGCAAGCTATCAAATGAAATAATACAAGAAACGTATGTAGTATATATAGAAGGTCGCTCTCAGTCCTCGATATGGCCTGTCATATGATGGGTGACCAATATTTTATTATCTCGAGCTCCTCCGTGCTTCGGAATGCATGTTAGCCCGGCTGCATTTTCAGTCGTTAATATCAATCCACACCAGGCCCATTCTACCTATTCTATTTAATTCTATCCATCCGTAGGGAAGGCAGCACCAGCGTTGGGCCTATTAATAGGCTGGTGATGATTAGTTATATATTTTAACTAACCTTTATGCGCCTAACAGTCTTCGAGGAGTGGTTAGATATCACCACATTGACGTTGATCGGCTCGCCGTGTGAGTAGGTCCCCTTATCCAGCCAAGCTTCCAACTCCACCCTAGGACAAAAAGATAATAACGTCATTGCATTATTGTTTCTTAGCTGTAGTTAATGGCGGTGTGTTGCCAGGTTACGTTACCAAATATACTGTAATTTATGCCTAGTTGTCTAATTTTAAAACCTAACTCTAATTCTAAGACTTATTTTAGAAAAATGTGAATGAACAATAGCGTTAATTTGTTATTAATTGGAATTATCAAAGGCGAGGATTAGATACATATATTACTTTAATTAACTAAGGTTTTATTATGTATCTTGATTTTTAAAATCATCATTCGTTCTGAAGGCGATTACGACGTTAAACTTTACATAAGTACATGAATATCTGTCACAGTCGCTATATCTTTGAAAATTATTGCGATTGATTATGAAATTAAATTAAAGAAATCGAAATATTATCCGTTGCATCTCAAAATAAATTGTATACTTTTTGTCCGGAACAATATTAATATGTACGCCAAGCATAGTGATGTACACAAACTTATCACTAGAAATTTAAACAAGCCGGTAATGGCTTCACACAGGTTGAAAAAGGCATTAGGTTCATTCATGGGTCAAGGTATAGGATACTTTAGGTATTAGGTTAATTCATAGGTCAAGGTATACAATACAATACAGTTAAGATCCCCAGTGATGTGTTAGATTTGCTAATAAATCATTTTAAAAGTCATACTTAAAATTGTCTACAAAATAAAGGATTATTATACCGTTAAATAATATATCTATGACTATAAGACATGGTCTTAAATATTTTAATTTATTAACATTGTACCTAACTTAACACTAATACACAAACTTAACACTAGAAATATAAATAAGCCAGTAATGCTTTCAGATAGGTTGAAAAAGGTATTAGGTTAATTCATAGGTCAAGGTATACAATACAAGTTAAGATCACCAGTGGTCTGTTAGATTTGCTAATAAATCATTTTAAAAGTCATACTTAAAATTGTCTACAAAGTAAAGGATTATTATACCGTTAAATAATACCTCATTTGTACCTATGCATTTGGTTCTGTAGATATTGATAGATGTATTGTTTGAAAGCTTCCTTAATTCACTGCTAATATTAAATACCTAGAGCTGTCACGATCTCTGGTGTCATATGCGTTGGCTGGCTCATGCGTCATGCTTTGTGAACGGGTGCTATTAGTCTGCTCTAGACTATTTAATTTCGTCCATTTAATTTTATTAGGAATACTGTATATTGGTTTATCAATGAATATGTATAACTCGGCAATCTGCATATTAAACAGTAATCGAAACATATACCTATTTTTTGTAAGTTCTAATATTGTAATGGAATGTGACCTCTTAGTCCAATGATGTCACTTTCCAAAAGAACTTCTCTTTGTGAAATAAAACATGGAGAAAAAAGCAGCTTTTGCGGAGTTTCTTGACGGTTCTTCTCATTACAAGGTATTCCGCTGTAGATTTGCAAACCGATGGCATTGTTTTAGACTTTCACAGTCTATGCGAATAAATGATATTAAAATTTGAATTAGACAGTTAAACTACTGACTATAATTAAAAAAAGGGCCAAAACCAGATCATTTGCCCTAAGTTTTGTGTACATTTTAATACAAATATAAATTAGATTAGCTTTTAAAGCCTACAAGGCTCCGGATCATTTGCCCTAAGTTGTGTGTACATTTTTACTACAAATATGTATTGGACCAGCTTTTAGAGCCTATAAGGCTCATATCGCATTAATTTCGAAACTTCATTTGTCTAAAAACATTTAATGTATTTTATACTAAAGTTATAAAGACCGAACGATAATCACAAATGCCCAGCATCTGGTAGCAACCCTGAAATTAACGAACATTAAATCCCCTGCTAATTGGTAATTTTGCTCACGGCAATTCATGTTCACTCCGGCGAAACCATTATTCAATATTCTCTCTCAACTAATATGAATTAATTATTAATATAGATTAAACTAACTTCAATAAAAACGATAGAACTACAACATGTTTCTAATTATAGATAGCAAAAAGGGGTATTTCTGGAAAAATATCGCATTCTTTTTAAATATATTCGCTTTAAAAAATGTAATATATTTCTTTCTTTAGAGTTCCCCCTGAAATTCGACAATATTCAATTTCTTACGATGTAGTTGGCTACATCGTAAGAAATTATATACATCGTAAATAATTGATTAATAGTTTTCCGCCAGCGGCTTCGCCCACGTGGTCTTGTATTATACATAAAAACCTTCCTTTTGAATCACCCTATCTATGAAAAAAACCGCATTAAATTTCGTTGATTAGTTTTTGAGCAGTTGACATGGGTCACTTTAACCGTGTCAAGACGTTTATTTATGTAGCGGGCATACTAAAATTCCTCAATTCAAATAAAAATGGCACATTACTTTCACAAAATTTATTATAAATTCTACTGCTCTAATAGCTAATTGATTATCTAGAAAAAACATTGACATATTTATAATTATAATGACACGTTAGAGAATATAGTTTAGAAATAAAAAACGAACGAGTTTATAGTTATAATAATTATCAACATCATCACTTTTACGTCCCCATTGGATGGTTAAGGAAGATGGGCCATGACCTTCTACATTGGCCCAATAATGTAGCCGGGATCAATGGTTTAAAGTGCATTCCGAAGTACGAAGTAACTCGAGATAATAATTTTTGTTCGCCCATCACATGACTGATCCTTGCGAAAACGGCTTAACAAAAACGATCGCGGACCGCTGCGCTTATCCACAATGCCACTGAGCTACTTTATATTAATACACCTATCATCACCAGCCCTTTTACGTCCCCACTGCAGGGACTCAGGCCTTCCTTATGGATGGTTAAGGAGGATGGGCCATGACCCTCCACGCTGGCCCAATGCGGATTGTAGGATATTAACGACTGCAAATTTAGCCGGGACCAACGGCTTAACGTGCCTTCCGAAGCACGCAGTAGCTCGAGATAATAATTTTTGATCACCCATCCCGTGACCGACCCTTACGAAAGTTGCTTAACGGCTACGATCGCGGGCCGCGGCGCTTATCCACTAAGCTACTTAATACACCTATATCAATGAGAAATCAAACCTAGCCCTAATGCTGCATACGTAAAAGTAGATTTAGTTATCATACTGACTTAAGTTAAATATACTGTGGCAATAGCCTTCTAGAACTAAATCTAGCGGTATAACGTGGACGAGATTTTAACGGTATTCGTGTCCTAGATAATATTCTCCTAAGAAGGGTTCTACGGAGTGTAAAAAATACCCACAGATTTTTATCTTTATTGACCGAGCCAGTAAACACTTGTCGAGGTTTATCAAAAAGGTTAGTTGCTTAGTTAGGAATGAGGACTGATTTTTATCGTGTCAATATGATAAATAAAACGAAAGGTCAAAAAGTTAATGGAATACTCATATCAATCATTTTTTGACAAGGTTTGTTTTCTACAAATGAAAATACAGGTTATTGTTATATATTCGGAGAATATTAAACATTTTTAATCGTAAATTTTATGGTACTAATTTGGAAAATATGTTGAAAATATGCTATGAAATCTTGAAAAAAGTAGGTATAGTACACTACAAAAATTTGCTACAATACATATGGCATAAACTTACTTGCATTTAACGTTTCTGCTTTAATTATAAGAGCTATAAATAACAAAATAAATAACGTCTTAGTGAATTTGATTTTTAGGGAGCGTTTTCGACCGACTAGCAACAGTTCCAGAAACATAGAACAATATCTCCGATCCTATTAAACGCAGTCATACTGTTGCTTCTACATTATTTCTCAGAAATAAATGGACTATTTGTGTATAAAATTAAAAATTTGTCAACTAGCCTAAAGCTTAAGGCTGTAAATAAGAAGTTATTATCCAATGATTAGGTTTTTATTTACTATTTAGATCTTTTTCGTACTTCGAAAATCACTTTAAACTATATCAAATCTAATCAAATCAAAATCATTTATTCAGTCCTGGCGGTTATAAGCACTTGTGAAAATCGAAACTCTATGTCATCGGTACGTAAATCTACGTTTGGAGACCTTGTACTGAGAAAAATCGGCAAGAAACTCGCCAAGGACTGCTTTTTTCTCCCTGTTTTATTTCATAAAGAGATGTTAAGATTGATCCTGAGTCAAAAAAGCTCTGTAAATAGTACGGATTGTGTTATGACATGTTATTCCTATCCTATTCTATTTAATGGATGACCACGATAAGTTAAGCAACTTTTGCAAAGTTTCGTTATTTCCTATGACCACCTTTCAGCTCCATCATCACCAGACCTTGGTCCGGAAAGCATCCAGTATAAAAGTCCTCATAAAGACTAACTAACTATTCTATCTAACGATCTAATGCTTCTAAACACGATGCAGCTACGTCATTTCATCATTAAGTTCCGATGAACTCGGTCAGAACTTCATCATCATATCAACTTACTGGACCATTGTATTGCATTGTCATTTGACTTACATTTCTGTGCAAAATTTCAATTTTATCGGACATTGGGAAATGTATTCAATTTGAGTTCCAAAATTTGCGCACTAACAAAAATACTTACGTATAAACAAGGCAAGTTTATTAAAAGTTTGTGATGAAATGAAATTGTGATTCAAGTATGCAGGGAATTTCAAGTATGAATGTCATATATTTGTAAGTTCTGACAGTCCGTGACCGAGTAAGCGACGTTTCCTCCGTCAGATAGTCACCGACCTTAAAATTAATGTAGTTAAACTCCTACCTGCCATCGGAGAGAAGAAAAGGTTTTTCGGCGATAGCTCGAGGCGGCGCCGGCTCGACGTTCTCTGTGAAAGAAAAAAAACAGCACTTAAGTATACAGGGTGTAATATTAGGAACGGTCATTAAAAGAAAGTCTGAAAGTATACATGGTAGGGTTTATGAACATCAATTGCATGTTAGGTGGAACAAAACGTAATGAAAGAGAGGGAAACATGTAGATGAGAGGAAAGATCGAAGACTTGCAAAACGGCCTTAGTATAGGGTGTCGCAAATGGCGACAGATGTGATCTGATGTGCTGGTACAAGTTCAGAAGGTATATAAATAAAAGTTGAAAGTTACCAGATATAGCTATTTACAACCGCCCATCACTACATACATTTAGATATAATGTTTTAAAATCAACGTTAACTATTTAAGACCAGCATAATTGGTATCTGAAAACGTGCTAGTTCGATTCCCGAACTGAGAAGTAGTTTTTAAAAATGTATGAATGCAGTTTTTTTTTCACTAAAATCAATGACTTGGTTCCTTAAAATCTTTATACGTTTTATAATATCAGACTTACTGAGTGTTCTTTATATATTTTCAGGAAATATTAAAATTACAAGCTTTCGCCGCATGAGACGAGAAAAAGTGACAAATGTTATTCTTTTAAATCGTTCGCTCTCAAAGGAGACTTTTTTCATTTTCTTCGGTAAACATTTGGAATTCTTGATTCTACATTATTTACCTGTAGCCTGTAATAGCTATTTTTTAATTAAGTAATTATGCAATCAAAAGTAAAGTCTAATTACAGAAAGATGATTTTCGTTTCTCTTAATTATTTAACTGGATTAAACAAATAATGGAAAAACTTAAATATTTTGATAAAAACTACATCACAATAGCCGCAACAAGTCACCTTGAGAAGCCTCCAGAGATTCGACGGGAATTTCGAACGGACGGACGAAAAAAAGAAAGGAAACATCAAATTAGGATTCCATCTTTAAAATGTTTGATCAAATATCCTTGTCAAAAATTCGAATTCACTGCAGAAATATCCCTGATTAGTTTTTTTTTTTTATTTATTCGTCGAATTCAGGATGGTTTTTATTTAGATGAAGTGATAAAAGCAAATAAAAAAATACTCTAGCTTATATTGAGATTAGAGGTTCAAGAACATCACTTAGAGATAAATCCAAGAAATTGGCATATTAACAGTGGCCTCTCAGCTGATAAACAATTGTATACTTTATATTAGAAACAATATTAACAATTATATCAAACATAGACAAAGACAAACTTGTTTTGCCATCATGCAGGCTAAAGAAGGTTATATCTACATTTATGGGTCAAGGTACAACAAACTTCAACAAAATGCCTATGGAATTTTACCCTTGCTTAAATTTAAAACCCATATTAAGAATTGTCTTTTCGGTAAAGGATATTATACTGTGAATGAATGTTTAAATGACAAAACTGGTTGAAATAATATAAAATATGGCTTATTTTTATGTATATTAAATTATTTATCGGTGTGCTTATTTGACTAGACATGTGATTCGATTGACGTAAAAACCGTTTTACTTTTATATTTTCTATTATGTAACGGAAAGTAACAAGTAGCTCGGTGGCGTAGTGGATAAGCGCCGCGGCCCGCGATCGTTGTCGTTAAGCAACTTTCGCAAGGGTCGGTCACGGGATGGGTGACCAAAAAATTATTATCTCGAGCTTCTTCGTGCTTCGGAAGGCACGTTAAGCCGTTGGCCTCGGCTGCATTTGCAGTCGTTAATACCCTCCAATCAGCATTGGGCCAGCGTGGAGGGTCATGGCCCATCCTCCTTAACCATCCATAAGGAAGGCCTGAGCCCCTGCAGTGGGGACGTAAAAGGGCTAATGAAAAATGGAAAGTGACTTCATATTTCAATGAAGTCATTTTTCATTCATGATGCTCTGTATGAAATAAAACAGGGAGAAAAAGCAGCCCTTGCCGGTTCTTTTCGGTACAAGTCTCCCGCCGTAGATTTACGAACCGATGGCGTAGCTCTTGACTTTCACAAGTGCTTGTGAAGAAATAATTTTGATTTGATATGTTTCTTTCAAAAAAATATTCATATCATCTAATCGAGCAGTCGACGAGGTTTTAAAGAAGTGTTTTAAGTAATGCAAGTTTTTCTAGTTATGGATATTGCAGTACTTACGAATTTACCAAGATAAGGGGGAGATGGTAAAACGCATCAACTTTTCATGTGATATCAACAGACTAAACTATAGTTACGTTTAGATTTTACAGCTGACTATCAACACCAGTTATACTAGTTAGCCGCCATTGATTTTATCTGATTTTACTAAGCACCCTTGAGATAAAGATGTACATCTATAGATGTTTATTTTACAGAGAGATTGTTTTTTGATACGCGATTTATTATCTTATAAAACTTTCCAAGTTGTACTTACCAATCTCCGCTGCTTTAGTTCGACAATTCGGCTCGGCGTCCGATTTGGATTTGTTTTTGAGTCTGAAACAAAAACACCTTCGTTTAATTTTGCAAGTAATAAATCTTACAAAACGAGAACTGTTACCTTTTCTGCGTACAATAAGTCAGGGTAACCGACCTTTATAGATGTTTTTCTTTTATTATTTTATAAATAAATATCTTTATTTTTCGACACCTATCCTTATTTATGGTCGCCAGCTTTTGAAAACAAATTTACTGTTTCATTTCTTCAATATATTTAATTTACCTTACTTTTAATAATATTAAACGAACTTTAAAACCCTGTAATTTATATCTGAGTTCAAAACTTAATACCAAATACAAAAAGTATATTTACATAATGATATAAAAAGTATAATCTATGTACAAAAAAGGATAATATTCTAAATGAGACAATCTCGGCCTATTGGCATCTGGCTATTAAAAAAATTGAAAATCGATTCATAATTGGCGGAGTAATCGCATAACAATCACACAACTTACAGTAGAATTGAGAACCTCTTCCTTTTTTGAAGTCAGTTAAAAAACGGAAATATTTTTTATTACTCGTTTGTATGCACTGAAAAGATTTATAAAATTCACCTGCTAGAAAGCGGAAGTAACATTATACGCAGGCGGCATAGGCAGAAAGGTATTTACGCGGAAACACTGCCTTATTATATGTATAGTGGGAAACTCTTTTCTTAGAATTACTGCGTATTTTACACACGTGTTTTCTTTTCAGACACCATTTTCAGCAAGTACCGAGCTTTTTAGTTACAAATAATGCTCACATTGTGTTACCCATTTGGAGTAAATGTATTCCATGTCCTGTAACATCTGTGTCAACACATTTTCGTTCAAAAGTAAGAAATAGGATTTCTTCCTAAACTTATAGACCGATACATACAATTATGGTGGCATTTAATAATCTTTACTTAAGTATATTATGAATTGAAAAATGTTTGTCCATTTTTATATGATTATTTCGTTTAAACATAACTTTACGGCTGGAAATTGACTTATGCTACTTTTTACTGGGAGAAAGCAATACATTTCTTTTGATGCCGACAACTCTACAACTTAATCTAGTTCAGCGTTTTTCAAATAATCGTTCACTGAGCCTCCCCAAAGCATAGTTAGGGGCCCAAGATGATATCGGTAATATTTCGGCAAATTATCGAAATTGAAGCTTGTGCCCATGTATGTAATTCATTATTAATTAAATTAAATAAACTAGTACATTTACACCTAAAATTTTGTTTTATTTTAGGACTATGTGTAAATTCGGATTCATAAGAGTCCTATTGCCTTAAAGATGTGACATCCGCTGCTCTAGTTTACACACGCATGATTACTTAGGAACGTTGAACTGCGCACAATGGATTTAATATATACACGTCTGCGTTTCAGGCTACTATCCTCAATATAATAAGGTTTAAATTGAATGAGGAAATTTGTCATTCTTGTATTGTTTGACGTGCCGTTGACTGTACTTGAAATACATTATGGCTTAATCTAAGAAATTTGATATATTTGTATAGCTTCAACTACGTTGTCTGTTTGCTACAATTTAATTAGATCTACCCTCAGAAAATATCAATCAAAGTTCACAAAGAAACATTAGAAGCAAAATGTTCCAGAACTTTGCAAACTTGGTTATATTTTCTCCTGTTCCAAAATTGAGCAAATGATAAAACTACGGTTGAATTATTGTGGTTTTAATTGAACAAGTACTGGAAATATTTACATCAACGTTGAATTATATTCAAAATTAAATTTTGGGAATATTGGGAAACTTAACGATAAAGGTTTTATTTTTTATCGTTGTTTTTAAGGTCTAGTCTACGTTTCAGACGAACAAAAAACTTCACGGATCTGTTAAGCTCTGAAACTGTGTTTTTAAGGGTTTTGTTAGAAAAGACATCAATCATGTACTGCCAATTTCGATTGACGCCAGATAGTAGAGTAGACATGTGCGAACTAGAACTTCTAGACATATTTAGTAAAAAATAATAAGTAACAATTTCTAGTGATATTTTGGATAGTATCTGATGAAATATATTACGAAAACAAAAGAACTTAAATAGAATCATATCACAATTCTTTGTTTCCATAGTTTTGGAAGATAGCTTTTCAAATTTTTTGTGCAAGCAAATTATTTATTTTTACATAAGTATGTATATTATTTTAAAAGCAGTAAACAAACTACAGGTTTATTGAGATAAAACCGGTTCTCGACATACGTCTAAATAAACGTATTTTTTTGTCTCCAATATTAATAGGTTATTAAAAGAGAGAAAATAACTTGAATAATTCACCATTACAAAACTACTAAATGAGCATTCACTACAATTTTTCCTGTAGTTGTTTACCGTCTAATGTTTATATTTATCTATAATATGAAACTTATAAAACGTAAACTTTTTCTAAACTTAGTTCAATATGTCGGAGGATTAACCACAGAAAATATATAGGTTCCTAAACTTAGTTAAAATTGCGTTTAAAGTGAACATTGTGGACGTCTCTGAACTTCGAATACCTATGTCGGAACTTTCCAGAAGCTTGTCGTCTCGAAGCTAACACAAATGGTTACCATAACTAGTTTAAGCTTGTGTGAACAAATATACACTTTATAAAAATACAGAGCAATAAACTAGATATTAAAAAAAAAACAAAAAAGCTCGGAATTTAACAATAATCACAAACGATGAAAACGGAGAGATATACATCCTTTTAGAATCGTGAAATATATCTATGCAAATTTCATCCTGTTACAGTGCTATTATGAGTTTCGACAATTGGAATATCCTCTTAAGTTCGAAGAGAAAATTTTCATTTGTTTTATTAAAGGAAGAAAATTCGAAGCTGTTAAAACCGTGATATCTTTAAATGGATTCATTCCATCGCTGTGTTGACGCGGCGAAATAATATTTTTTCTCTCTTCTGAAATTTGAATACTTGAGCAGGTTTTCAGTATGAAATAACTGTGAAGAACTACGTATATATAAGTAGTTGAAATATATAAAATAATAGAAATCCCTAGTGTAGTCCCACCCAAATCCTGGAAGTTATGTAGTAGATTTTTTCCGCTGACTGTGTAACTAGAATTCTCCATAGTTATGGTATACTACCAAAAAAAACCGACAACGATGGGAGGCTGGTAATTGAAATTTAAAATTTATACACATCCAAAGATACGATGACTTCTTCAAAACCATTCTGGAAAAGAGGAAAGAAAGAGTGAGAACAAGGATATATCTACAACAAGTGGAAGAAATGTAGATGTCGTATCGAAACAAGAAATAGAAAAGGCAAAATAGAAAAATGTATAGGTGCTCCACCGACAAGGGCATTATCATCATCAGCCTATTATTGTCCCCAATGCTGGAGCTCAGACCTTCTCTATGGATGTAATATAATCAAATAAAATAGGGAGAATGGACCATAATAATAATGGGTGTTAAAGACTATAGATGCAGCCGGGAATAGCGGCTTAACGTGCCTTCCGAATCACGAACGAGTTTGTTAATAAATTCTTAGTCACCCATCATATGGCCGAACCTTACGAAAATGGTTTAACAATCGTACCGCAGACGGAGCTCTTATGAAGCAAGCCAATTCTAAAATGCAAAATGGCAGACAGGTTCGTATTATAACATTTAACACTTCTGAAGCTATCAAGTTCCAGTCATTATAAATTCTACTCTATTATGGGCCAGTAATATTTTGTATAATGAAGTACGGGTTCGTGTTGACCTGATTATGTATAAATGTGAATAGGGGCTATATCCAATTACATGTAAAATATTGGGTGCTATGATTGCTATGTTGGTCGATGTTCGATCTGATAATTTCTTTGTTAACACAAGGGAAAAAATAAAAGGCACAAATGTTGATAGAACGTTTCTAGTTTGTATTTGTGTTCTGTTCCAAGAAATACATATTATGGTGCGCTTGAATTTATTTTAGAAAATATAGGTCAAAACCATGAACAAATAACGAAGGTATGTTTGTTATACCAGTTTTTACATTTTCTTTCAAATTTTCACATTTTATTTCAAAATTATTCTAAATCCAAGATAAATAGATAGGTATTTATAAGATATGGTAAATTTTGTAATAAAAATATGCTAACGATATTTGTCTAGTTTCTGGCGTCTGGGATAGTTGAATTTTTTTAAGTATTATTATATTATTTTATAAAAACGATGAGAAACTAAAAACAACAACAGAGCATATGAAGACTAATTAAATCGCATAAATTAATTAAATGTTACATATTCAGTAGTAAGGTTTAAATCAAATAAATTGTACGAAGAATGTCATATTCCATTATAGATTCTTAGTAAAAGTCGGAATAGTAATCGCTCAGATGAAAATACTACAGTAATCGCCCGAACGTATCAGAGTCAGAATTCGTATCGATTGTCCCAATATTTCGGAAAATTGGAAATGCCCTAACAAAGTAGAAGTTTTAAATAAAAAGTAGATTGCATCAACCAATCGCACGCCATCGCCTAGCAGCCTAAGATATATTTCCGAAAAATGGCGATGTTTATATTAATTTTAACGCCGATTACGACATTTAAAAACAATTACGCAGATAATTTAATCTACTCCTATCGAAAAACGAGTTTTATTTATTAAACGAAAGGGTTTTGTGCACATAGGTTAAAAGACTTTGTTTTAACATTGGTTTTAACTATCATATTATTTGTTTAGGTCCTTTAGCATATATTTGAAGTAACTCAAAGCCGCAATGTAGCATTTATAAATTCAGATGATAAATGTTTTATTCGCTTGATATTTATTCATGTACAATAATGACCAACAGCTTATTATATAATATAACACCTCTTAAAATCACGATTATATTGACATAGACTGCGATACTTACTGTTCACACTCTAAATAAAAAAGATATAATAAATAGATAAATAAATGTATTTAAAATAAAACAATGAAACGAGAAGTTAAAACATTAAACATATTTAAAGTAAATAGTATATGTTATATAATTACATATTATCATTAGTTAC